CTACATAATCGTTACATTGTAGGAAATGATAAAGAAATCGGGCCAAACATGAGTATTACGGGTGAGAACCTTGATATGTCGTTCGTACAAAATTTTTGTACTTAATTTTTTTTTAATTTACAAGAGAAAAGTAGGGCAAAGGGTTAATACAATTAAATTTTACTAAAAAGATTAAATCAAATTTTTTCGGAGACGCTATATTGTGTAGACTTTTATATTTGTATACGATAAAGTATTCTCGTAATTAAAGTATGCATTTGTGTGTGTGTGTGTGTGTGTGTGTGTGTGTGTGTGTGTGTGTGTGTGTGTGTGCGCGCGTGCGTGTGCGTGTGCGTATATTATTAAATTATAACTTCACATTTAATTACAATTTTCATGCAATATATTATTTTTTCATACATAATTATTCAATTACAATTTTCATATAGTATTTAATTAATTATTATTTTTAATTTATTATTTTTAATTTTATTACTGTTTAATATTATTATTATTATTAATGTGAATTATTTTTATATAAATTCGTTCGTTAACATTATATTATTATATAATTCTAATTTAAAAATATACTCGCTATAAACAATTTTCATAATACGATCGAATTATGTTTTTTTTTTTAAGAAAAATCATTTTGTATCTTTAAAAATCAGTTTGTAGCTTTATAAAATCTCAAATTTATAAACGCATTTTCAACCCACAACATGGCGGCGAGTCATGTGACCTGAGACCCACTATATCAAAGGTACCGATGCTCAGTGTAATACTGTATGTTGTTACGTCCGCAATAACTTTTGTCTAAGAATAATTTCTAAAATCACCGGCACAAGACACGAACGCGTCGAGTCGTTTAGACTGCACCTGACATCTCTCCCACGAGCAAACCAGAGAATACGATTATGGAAGGGGTTTTAGAAACGCTCACTGGGCAAAAGCTAGGAGGCAGTGCAGAGAAATAGCGCGCGTCATACGGGGGACACGCGGAAATTGAGTCTTCTTTCCACTCTAACTTTTACTAAAAATAACATGTGCAAACGTAATGCTAAGCCGAATGCGATATTCTCGCAATTTCAATTTCTAGGAATTTCAATCTCAGTTAACTCAAAACGCCAATTCAATTTCTAAATCCTAGTTATAAGTCCTAGTTATAAGAAATAATCTCTATGTTAATTTAGAAGTAAAGCTGTCTAGTGTAAAATTATTTATTAAAAGTTTAATCAGTGTAAGAATCATTATTAAATATACATTCAATTATTCTTATTAGAGCGTATATTCCATGGACATCTCCATACTCTTAATCAATTCATTCTAACTCTAATAATAATATGACCGCTATCGAATATTAACATAAGGTGATCGCGCACATCATTTAATATGACTCAAATCGGCAGCCAAATCTAAGGAGCAATAGAAGCCTAGACATACACTTCCGCTAGCATTTGGGAACATCGCAGAGTATTCATCCGAGGTATCTCAAGGTAATGAAATCTCTACACCTCACTAATCGAAACTCGCTATAAATGAATCATAGAGCATGTGTCCTATCCTCCCGCGTTCGCGCACCTCTATCGATGCTCGACTTTTATCCGTACATCGTAGGTACGTAGCGGCTGTTGTGCGTCCGCCTTGTTCCACCAACATAAAGAGAGTGGAATAATTAAATGCATCGAATATTACACCGCCTTCTAAAATTATTACTTATTGCCTTCCAAAAAGGAGAATTATTACGAGATTCTGTGTCATTACATCCATTTGGATTACCCCGAACGGCTCGAGACCTATAACGCATGCTGCCTGATATTAGTTACGCTTCGCACGGTTACAACTTGCTCCGAGTGCCCAAGAGTATTAGAAAGATTCCTCATATTCTTGGGAACGACGGAAGAGCAACTATGGAACGACTCTGAATCCACTATAATCGTCATATCTAGCGTTCACGTCTAGCCGAAATCGCGAGTTCCGTATCTCACCTATAGTCTCAGGTTAATCCGAAACCGTGAATCGACCAGATCACCCTGAGACGTAACAATGTATTGTACTTATACTGTAGTGAGGCTCTCTAGTGCCGCTTACCGCGCTACATGTAATAGAGGAAAAAAGAAGCAAGCGACTGTTTGTGCAGTTCCTATAGTTACCTAGTTAATTTCTGTATCACGTACCGCGTTACATGTAATCGCACCCTCAGGTTAGAGTCTCATGAGGTGTATTTATCGCGTATCACATAATCGCGTAACCAATTGAAAGCGATGTTGTGATTTCATGTTTTACTGATTACTGATTGGTTACACGATGCGCGATATATGGCAAATATGCTTCATAGGACTCCAACCTCAGAAGTAATTGGATTAGATCAAAGAGAATGGACTGCTCGATCGTATCTAAATATGGTCGACAAAAAATGAGAGAGAGATAAACCGTGGAAGATGGCCACTCTCCCTCTCTCTCTCTCTCTCTCTCTCTCTCTCTCTCTCTCTCTCTCTCTCTCTCTCTCTCTCTCTCTCTCTCTCGTTATATCGTTGAGTGAAAGAGATAAAAAATTGGCCATTTTCTATGGTCTCTCTCTCTCTCTCTCTCTCTCTCTCTCTCTTTTTCACATTTTTGTCGATCATACTATTTATTAAATACAATCGAGCAGTCAATTTTCTTTTTGGATTAAATCGAATTGTGAGAAGTGCAATGTGCACGAATTTGCATGATGTAATAAAAAGAGTGCATCAAAACAAACAGGTACGTACGTTAACTGTTATTCTAATAATTAATATTGTGTATTTTATTCTAAAATATATATCACTAATGGAAATATACAGTTTAGTAAAGAAAATCTGGAAAAGCAAAATATAACCTCGGTATTAATTTTTAATTATAATTCTAAGTTATAATTATTAATCATAACTTTGGTAATACTCAAGAATTATATCCTGCTCGTCGATTTTGATGAAATTAGGCTTATTTGACGCGTTTTTGCATAAAACGAAAGAATCTAGCAAAAAAAAGCGTCCTGTGAGCGAGATATTAAGCGTTAAAGTTAATACAATAACTATTGAAATTAGGAAATCTGTCATAGAGAAAATGAGGTCTATAATTGTACTGTTCCACATGGGTTTCGACTTTTCACGCGAAGCGACTCTCACTCTCTACTCTCACCTCCCTCCTCCATTACAAAAAGGCGCATGATTTCTATAATTGTACTGTTGTTGTTGAGATTAAAAAATCTGTCATGTAGACAGTGGGATGTATAGACTAGGGGTACGTTCCGAGTTAGGGACTCTGCACAATAAAAGGAACAGGGAATAAGAATTTCAGGAATTCTGTATTCCACAATACATGATTTCTGATAGGTTGAAATTCTTATTCTCTGTTCTCTGTCCCTTTTATTGTACGGAGTCTCTTATGCATGAAGCGCATAATGCATCATTTGTCCTCATTATTCACCAAATAATAAAGAAGAAATAATAAAATAATATATCATGCGCTTCATGCGTAATTTGGAACGCATCTTAGTGCTTATTCGGGGCGGTTACGCCGTCCCAAACAAAAAAAAAACATATCCTACCCACTTGGGACCTAACAGAAGTTGCAGCGTAAACAGTGGCCTAGTTTCCACCGAGGGTTTAAACCGAATCAGAATGTAAGAACCAACTAACTACAGTCGAGTATTCACTTGTTACAGTCGAACGACAGGGGAATGCTCGACTGCAGTTGGTTGGTTCTTACATTCTGATCCGATTGAAACCCTCGATGGAAACTAGGCCACTGTCCGCTTGGAATATTTCTAACCCATGAAGACAGCGCGGTATGAAAACAGTCTTTTTACTGGCAAGGACGCAGTCAGATACAGAGAATCATTTCATCCTTGTTTAACGTAGGTAAACAACAAAAATGTAATGATTCATGTATTACACTGTGTCTGACTGTATTCTTGCTGGAAAGCACCCACTGTCTAGGCTGCCACTTCTAGGCATTTCTAGGCGGTTAGACCCCAATCTGATAGGATGTTTTTTTTGTTCGACTATGCCGTCCCGAACCAATAAGTACTAGTCTATACACTGCACTATCTACATGACAGATTAATGATCGTGCTACATAGTAGCATTTTAATCAACTTTAACGCTCAATATCTCGCTTCGCAGAGCAATTCCGAATATTTTTTTGCCAGATATTTTCATTTTATGCAAAAACGTGTCGAATGAACCGAATTTTATCGAAATCGAAGGTGAGAAAGAGATTTCTTAACCTCAATAGTTATCAACTTTACCGCTTAATATCACAGATCAGAGCAACTCTTTTTGCCAGATTTTTTCATTTCATGCAAAACCGCATCGAATAAGCTTAATTTTATCAAAATCGGACCAGGACACAATTCTTAAGTATTACCATAATTTTTAATTATAACTCAAAGAGTATTAACAATTATATATATTATTATATTTATTATATAATTACATATTATATTTTACAGAAAATTGTTGCCTTATTTGTTATATTAAGTCAAAATGTTTGTATCGTTTTTCGTTCATTTTATATTATATATTGCAATAACAATGTATTTATATAATATTCTTAAGATTTCCATGAGTGCTTTCTATATAACTGTTGTATGTTTCGCGGATTTTCTCCATGTCTAGATCCATTTTTGGAATGCCAACGTTTCGTGAGCCTTGCAGTCCACTTCATCAGGACGAGGAGCAGCCTGATACTGAGCTGTTCCTCTAGGCCCTTCCTTTTTATTACGCTGCTTGTTGGAGTGGGAGTAGATGGGAAGAGGAGGGGGGGAGAGGTGGTGGAATGTACAATATTTATATTGGGTCATCTAAAAAGTATCCGCGGTTTTTTGTCACTAGATGTGTGTTGATGGTCATATATCTAGTGACAAAGTACCGCGGATACTTTTTAGATGACCCAATATATACAATATCTCTCTCTATTCATATAAATTATTAATAAACATAGGAAAAACCTATAAGGATGGATATTTGTCTTATGGAATATTTTTTTTAATAATGAGGATGATGAAGATGATAATTGGCAAATGTATCATGTCAGAGAATCACACTTGAAAATTAATAATTATTATGAGAACATTGTCCTTCTGTATTCTGTCACAGATAATGACAAAAGGTTTATCTATTATTTATTATTTTATATTGAATGCTATTTACATAGAACAAAGTAATTACTGCATACGAATCCATATTCGTAACATATTTGCAATGTTAGCACAGGGTATCAATCATGAAATTTTATCCCTAAGATGGAAAGTGAAAAGTGAAAACTTTTATTATTGAAATTAATGGAGAAATTTTTCACTTTTCATTTTCCATCCTAGGAATAAAGTGATTGATATCTTGTGTGCTAACATTATTGCAAGTATGTTGATTCGTCGTAAACACTCGGTTATTTCAATGACGCATTCTTCATTCCACAGCCCTTTTCCGCATCGTGTGATTTCACTTTTAGGATGACTTTTATTAAGCTCCGATTAGCTTAACCATTCTAGTAACTTTGTAGGATTCCAACTGAAACAGATGTCAGAGACGTTCTCTGGAGACGTTCTCCAACATCATTTTAGAAGGAATCCTGCAAAGTTACTAAGGCTACGTTCCAAAACTTCCTCTCCGAGGAAGATTTTACTCTATATACTATAGTATACGTTATGTGTACTATATATTGGATCATCTAAAAAGTATCCGCGGTTTTTTGTCACTAGATGGTGTTGATGATCAACACATATATTTTGAGTAAGTTTTAGCCTAGAATGATTAAGATAACTGGAGCTTGGTAAAAGTCACTTTTAGGGCTTCTTTCATCGACACCAATTAACGCTAATCGATGATTAACTCAATCATTACGATTACCAACGTGAGAACTAAACACAGAAGAGAAAGAAAAACACAAGTAGCTACTAAGTAAGTATTCAGGAATTTTTTCTGTAGTGACCACGACTAAACAATCAAGAATACTTCTCCAATGTACTTTCCCAATTGCTCTTTCAATTGAAATTCTTATTAAAGACTGATAAAAATTAAAATTTTTTGTTTGACTGTTAGATGCCCATTATCCTTAAAAGACACTATGATATGAATACTATAGGCAGCATCTTGGACAATATGAAAATCATTAAGAAAATAGATTTGTGGATTTTTAATATATTATCCAACAGAAGAGAGCCGGAAAACATGTGCATCATGCACCGATCCAATATTTTCAGCAGAACGCTTGTAAAGAGCAATTTTTGAGTACAAACTACCTAAAAAGATAAAATAGAAACTAATAAATGGTAAGAATTTCCAATCATTTTTAAAGATAATTTTTAAATTCTTGTACAGGAATTGAGTGATATCCTTTGCAGTTCACATCTGATTGTTTATCCTCTTGTGCGAAGCTATTATTTTAATGTGCGTACCATCAATAACTCCTACAACTTTAGGAAATCCACTAGCTCTTTCAATTTTTCCATCACTTTGGTTGCTCTTTCACCCTGAGGCCACTAAATAAATCGTAGAGCAAGAGTGTGCAAGGCATAAATAACTCTCCTCATAATAAGAATTGTTGTAGCTTTTCCTATCTCAAATTTCACACAAATAGACCTATAATTCATATAACGATATAATAAAAAACTTTTTCTTGACGAGAAGTTATGTTACTATGTCTATATAAATCTGATGTTGTCATCATTCACAAAGCTAACAGAAGTTGTTTTTGAATTGGTACAGGCTTTCTATTACTAAGTGATTTAATTAATATAGATCCTATTCCAATAAGAACTCAAAAGTTGTAGGAAATAATCTGTAAATAAAACAATTGAAATTTCATAATTTATATTAAAAATTATTCTAAAAATAATCATTATTATGATGCTATGTTTTCATGATCTCGAGCAATCGTCATTGGCTATATCTAAAGCGCGTTTTAAATTCTCTTCAGCTGTATAATGAGAAACAATTCTTTCCACATATCCTTTGATATGAGATTTAATTTGTGTTTTACTTCTTTGTCTGTTTAGACCTAAATAAAACTGTAATAAAATCTTTTACTTCTATCTCTTTGCTCTCGTCATTACTTGAAGACATCTTAGCAAACGAGAATGGATTAAAATGGATTGAAATTTTTTTCTATTCGAATGCATATTTTAAATAACAAATACTTTTTTTTGGATTTAATTGGATTCAATTGGATTCAATTAGATGCAATTGGATCGAAAAACTGCATTTCCTATTCAAAATTTTAAATTGAAACAGTATTGACAATTGTGTTGTTGTGCACAGAAAAAGCTATTATTTTTAGATTGAAAGGCTCCATAGAGATGCTCTATGCAATTCCTATAAATGAATAACAATGCATTCAGGATTGAAAAGCATTCATTTTAACATTCGTGAATTAATATTTCTGAAAATCTGAATCTATTGCAATTCATTTCAATCCATTCTCGTTTGCTGGAATATTCATTAAAATTTTAAATCGTCATCTTTATCATTGGTTTCGCAACAAAATTCAAAAAATTGCAGTAATGTAACTTTTTCATTTTTATCTCGAACTCATTTCTTTTTTTTTTATCAATTGTTGAGTGAGATATCTTTTAGGTTATAAGTTAGATTATAAGTCCTGCATAATAGAAAAAAGATTAAAAATAAAAATAGGAATAAATATTAAATATTAGAAATAAAAAATTAGGAAATGAATATGTAAATGCTTAATGGATACAAATAGAATATAAGACATATTATATTTTATGAGTCATATTTTATTAATTGTATGTGTTACGTTTAATCTTTATTCCTAATTTTTTCTTTTTCTAATATTTAATATTTATTCTTATTCTTAATATTGTTTCTTCTATTATCCAGATCATATACAGCCGGTCACAAAAAGGTTGCAATATTTTTTTTTTGATGAGTTTCGGAACTCAACTTTGCTCATAGAACAGTTGCTTATAGAACGTAAATAGATCCATAAGTAAGAACCAATCGTTCGAGCAAACTATTTCGAAACTCATCGAAAAAAAAGTGTTGCAATCTCTTTGTGATCGGCTGTACATACCGACTTTCCATTTAACTTTCAGTTATCAGGTTATGAACTCCGTCAGGATGAGGTTAGTATTGATGTTTTTATGTTTTCTTGTTGAATAATGTAATGATTAAGTAATGCAATTACAAATGTACATAAAAAGATAAACGACATATTGTATATTTATTTTAGGTATGTGTATCAGTTCAGTTGTAGATAGCTGTAGCAAGGAAACGTATGATAGCTCTCCATTGCGAATACAATATGGCTGGTTTAATTAGATAGGGGTACCACCAATCAGAAATCGCGACGCCGATGTCGCTTCTCTCATATATAGGACTTTAGGACCGACCACTAAGGCCATAGCACAGACTTTTGCGTATTAATGCATAAATCAACTAGTGTACAAGTAAATCAACTAATCAGAATCTTTCCTTTCCTCCTATTCCATGGAAAAGAAGAATTTCGATTGATTGATTCCCTTATGCATTATGCGTTATGCAAGAGTCTGTGCTGCCATTAATGTTGTAAAAGCTGATGAAGCTGTAAGCGTGAATGATTATGTTCAGCAGAAAAAGCAACTTTGCAATTGTAGTAAAATTCTTTAATATGAATGGTTGTGTTCAGCAAAGAAAACTAATCAGTTAGCGCTTAGTGATTCTTTAATACGATTGGTTCCTATATTTAAATTTTGCGAAGAACTAAAGGTAAGAACTAATTATATTAAAGAATCACTAAGCGCTAACTGATTAATTTTCTCTATTTAGATTTTGTTCTTAGTTCCTCACTGGATTTAAATATATAAATCAATCACATCTAAGAATTTTATAAAAGTTGCACAGCTACTTTTTCTGCTGAACGCAGTCATTCGGACCGCGGCCCATATTATTCCTTTTATTATGGTATGGATCGGCACTTTCGATTGTGGCGCTACAAAGTTGCTAGTCTGTAGATCCTAATTGGCTAATTACATTTTAAGCTCTTGACTAATTACATTTTTTTTTCTTCCATCATACGCACTTCGGTTTAGCACTTTTCCGATAAATGGAGCCGCTGTTGCGGAGAAATTTTTAAGTTAGATGTCTTTTCGGATATAATAATTTCGGATATAATCATAAGTTATATATATAATTATATATATAACTTGAATTATATATAATTTGAAAATGTAATTAAGGATAAAAGTGAGAAAAGATGAAATTATATATTTTGATAAAAATTTTGGCATCCAAAAGATAAGATAGTAAGTTCGTATTCTTATTTTGTTTATTTAATCGTGCATACTTACTAAAGTACGTTATGTGCACCTTTTCAGTTTTTATTCATTGAATTCAGTTATAAAGTTGAGTAATCGGTTTTCTTATCAAATCAATTCGCGGCAGGAAATTGTGTGCATGGACAATTCAAAGTTTCTTTTCAATGAAAAGTGCACTATTTACAAAGAATTCGGAAGATATGGAACTCTGTAGTCGACAAACTAAAAATGACATGATATTAATGTTGTAATTTCGTATCATAATATAAATGTAATATAACATATGGTATTACATAACAACCCAAGGAACACACTAAGTCGAGAGAAAATCAAAATGACTTGATGTCAAAAAGATGATTTTTGAATACAAAATTTGACTGTTTATTGACTTTAAGTATAAAAATAAAGTTATTTTGACATTTTGATGTTTATTGACTTTAAGCATAAAAATAAAGTTATTTTGACATTTTGATGTTTTGTTTATTTTTGTATGTTCTTTGAGGGAATTACATTGTAAAATGCGAAATTATAATTAATTGACATTACGTTACTTTTGATTTGTATCGAATGGGTATTTTCAATGTTGTTTGTGTTCTGAATGAATCCATGAATTAATGAATTAATTCGCACCGTGACACTTTACAAATTTCGTAAAAAATTTTGATATCTGATGCATTTGCATTTATGTTTATGTAATTTCACAAAATATCAACAAAATTATTTTTTTAAGTACTGGTCTGAAAAGTAGAGGCTTCAAGCTTTAAAAATGCTTTTTTAAACATCTCAATACGATGATTTTTGACAAAATTATTCTCTCTTGAAATTTTTATAGAGTGGAAACAAATGATCCTTTAATTTTGTTTAGTGTGTGTGTATGTGTATATGTATATACAAAAGGTGGCATGAATATACGGCCCCGCTCGTCCCGAGCAGATAGAGTGGACTAAACTAAGTAGAAAAGTCCTCTACCATTTTGTAATGCTCGCAATAATTAACGACATATTAACGTTTAAAAATAGCCGAATATGCGCGTCCGCTCGACTTACTATTGTCGAAGGTACGGCCCATCGAGCATACGGCGCACGAGCCGCGAGGAGCGGGAATGGCTTAGCAGACGCGCCGTTTGAGCTTGGATGATCGCGACGGTAAGCCCCTGCTAGGTGGGCCGTACTTTTGACAATAATAAATCGAGCGGACGCGCGTATTCGGCTATCTTTAAATGTTAATATCTCGTTATAATAATTATGACAAAAACATTCTCATATTTTGAGAGTTACGGGGGTAGGAATACATTAATCTTAAAATCTGGCCATAACGTCTTAAAGTAGAGATTTCAAGCTTTAATTTAAAAGAAAAAAAACGTTATCTTACAATAATTTTTTGCAATTATCATCAATGTTAGCCCAAAATTTTTCTATGCCATAATTTTTTTTAGCAGTGTACATATATATAAATTTTATACTATATGCGTATATATAAAACTGTAGCTTTCACTCAATCGAATTTTTTGGAAATTGAAGTGAATTGCAGTAATATGTAAACAATATAGAATTGCAGTAATATGTAAACAATATAGAATTGATTAAAATTATCTATATTATATATTTTATAAGTGATTTTTAATGATCATTTGTGCCAAGATTATTATTGATAGATGTTGGCAGGGAACTTATTCTGATAACCTGTATAATTACTTTTACGCTAAAACTGTTGGTTATGTTATACGAATATACTCTTTCGTACTAAAAAAATAATTTCTTATTCTAACGTGATATATAAGAGACAGAAAAAATAAGACACAAATTAAATGGGCTAATTTCGCCTCTACCACTAATAACCAAACATGCAAGAACG